ACAGCTCTAAAAACTGACCCCCAAAAATGGGAGGTTTGCCTATATAAATGTGTCTTCACACCGAAAGATGGCCAAAATTTAAAGGTTTTTAAATAACTTGAGTTCTTGAAATTCCTGTGTTGCAAACCTTTCCAGACCTCTCTGCTGATAACTCAGACCGTACAGACTAATGTTTTGCAGTCAGTGTGCAGTAGTTGTCCATTGCACTTAAATTAGTGAAAGTACCATTAAAAATAAGTATTCTGTTTAGTGTGAAAAGGTTGTAACAGTATGTCCACTCTTCTCTGCAATTAAAGCATAACTGAATGTGTAATGGAAAATTTCTTACTCCCCAAAGAGTAGGCAGAATATGTCAGTAAAGCCAGCAAATATACTGTTCCTCGCATTAGAAGTAGTATGAGATTATACATTCAATACAGATATAGTAAAGCAATACTGCTGAGATCCATTTTTGAATGACTACTGTAATAAATCATGACACTGAAATAAAGTCCCCTTTTCCTGTCTGATTATGGTTAATACTGCAACAGAAAAAAAATTAAACCATGATCTTTAATGAATCAGAATGTGAGAGCTACAGCAGCAAATCTGTGTCCTGCCTCAGATGCTTTGATGTGAAAAAGCTTCTGTCTTACCGAGGCCAAGTATTTGAACTCCTTTTAAGTTGCAATTATAGGTGGTGAAATAACATAAATAAGGCATTAAATCTGATTGTGTCTCTGAAGATTCAGATTTATGTTAAAATCAGATTCAATGAGGACTAGAGTGTACTTCGCTAAAGAAAAAGTACAGTTTTTCTCAGAGCATTACAGGAGTTCTATATTTTAATACAATGGAGTCTTTTTTTTTTTTTTCAGATTCTTGTTCATAAAAATAAAAAACTAGAAAAAAATTTAAGGGTCTGTGTGAAGGGGAAGAGGAGGGAGGGGATCTTCTATGTTTTAACTATAAAATGCTTTTCCTCTTATTCTGTGGATAGGTGACAAGGTTAGTCTTTCATTACTAATTTACTGATTTATATAAATAAATATTTACATCAAAATGCTGCTTTTAAAGACACAGTTTACTCAGAGGTTATAAAGCTTTTCTGTAGCTTCCATGAAATACAGAGCCTATAAACATTGTAGTATTTTAGCCCAGATGCTTTGGAAAGTCAACTGCCGTCTTTTTCTTTGTGGGTTTTTTTTTTCCTTCTCCTTGCACAGAAAAGTCATTGACTTGGATTTTCACCATTACATCTGTTCTAGCTGTTTTGTGAAAGGTTTGATAGCAAATCAGGAGGTTCGGGGTTCGGAAGTAATAGTTGTGTTGACTGTTTAGTTAATTTCTTGTATGTGATCTGTTGTTTGAAAGTTTTTTTTTTTTTAATAGCCTTCGGGTTTCATAAATGAAATTCTGTACTCAAATTGCGTGTGTACCTGCATGTAGTATCAATGTTTGCAACTCCATGCTGTGTGAAGACTGTCTTTTGCCATTTTTGCATTCATCTCAAATCTCTTATGAACAACTAAACTAAACCAACCCCCAACCTTGGTGCTTATTAGAGGTATAATACTAATGCCTTTGCAAATAACACTTCAGGTGTGGCAAAATAGAATCAATACCTGATTTAAACTTTACATGATTTTACGCTTGTTTTACACTATATCCCATATGATTAGGTCAATGCAAAATATATCGAACAAATTAATGTGGATTATTAGCAATCATCTGAGCATGCCCGATTCCTTCTAGTGATGTTTTTTCTCTGGGTAGTGAGCTGCTTTTGCTGGGCTTGATTTGATTTGATTTTTTTGTTTAAAGAGATAACAACAATTAAAAAAATTCTAATTTAAGGCAATGGGATTTTTTTTTTCTTTTTTGAAAGGATGGAGAAAAACCTAAGAGAACATAAATTTAAGTCCACTTAAGAGTTTATGATAATCCAGGTAGATATCCTTTCAGCCACAGCATAAACATTGACCATTACTTTTTACACTTATAATGCCTGTTGGTGTTATGTATTTATTTCAAAACTGGACATCTTTTCAGAATCTTCAGTGGCTTTCAATAAATAAATACTTGGCCACTTATATGCCAGTACAAGTTGAGAAACTTATTGACCTCGACTGTAATTTGGGATCTGAGTCCCATTTCTAAATTTGTACAGTATTCCTCTCAACTTTCCAACATACATCTTAATATCTTTGTGCTTGCACTTCCTCTGGGAGCTAGTGGGGACAGGAGATTTACCCTCCATAATAAAGATGCTACATTAAGTTGCCACTTTAATGTGTTTATGGAATATCTTTGGAATAGTATCCAAACTTTGTTGGACCAGTAGCTGCCACTACAGCACATACCATGTATGTAGTGATGCTGTACAGCTAATTCCTCTGTTTCCCAGACACAGCGAAGCCTTATGCCTAGTGCACCTTGTATTGAAAGACCTGGATTTACAGTTAAGCAACTGATTGAATTAGTAACTCTGTGCTGCTGCTTCCAGAAGATTTGACAAAGAGAAACACATGCTTATGTAGCTTCTTCATGAAAGGGACTATTGCATTCATTGAACATTGGAAGTGTCTCTGTTGCCTACTGGGAAGTGAATGTTTGTATATGCAAGTGGAAAATCCATGCCCCTGCCGGGTAAGTTTTGATGAGCAGCACTTGCAGGCAGCTCTCAAAAACTGAGCTGTGCACCAGCCTGGGAGTGAAGTACCTGAGAAAGGTGCTCCCAGATAGAAGTTTTAGCAGGGGACAGATGAAGCTGCGAAGACATTATAACAAACGGTCTTCCCATAAACTCTTCCTTGTTGAACACCTTGGAAAGATTGTGTTTGATCTCAGAGGTCTCTGAGGGTGCAGCATGGAGACCTTCTGCTCGGCAGGAGATAACTGTGCTGACTCAAATATTTGTGTTCTTTATTGGATGTAACATTGCCTGAAAGAGAGCTCCCTTAGCCTTGCAAGGTTTTTCTTTCACGTGCACTCAAAGATAGGTTTTCTCGTTATGTCTTTTGGGCGTGGAACAAGTTTGTCCTAAAGGTACAAGGGATATCAGTGAACGTACCCAGACTGAGATGAGAAAAAACTTGGGTGAGAGGAGTCACTCCGCACGGGGGAGGCTTTGTCCAACATGCAGTTAGCAAACTCTGGGTAAAGCTCCTGCTGCTGAGTTGCTGCTCTGTGATCTGCCACAGGTATGCGACCTCCTAATACCAGTGGTTTTGTTGCAGAATCACAGCGCAGCTTATTAAGGATGCGCACAGTCAAAATCAAAATGCCAGCTGCTAATTGCACACGACAGTGTTAGGATGAAATTATTGGAGCTTTCTGCAGGCAGGGTTTTTGAATGACTAGGGCTTCTGTGGTAGTACAGGTAGTATTCCTGAGGATTTTGTAACCTTTCTAGTGTAACTGTGTGCCAGAGGGGGAAAATTAAAAGTCATCATCACAAAAAATCCCAAAAAGGCATTTAGCAAGTACTTTGGATGAAAGTTCATTTTGCCCTTGGTGTTGATATAGTATGACAGTGGCATTGAATGCCTATTTTTATACACAGTGGTAAATATATTTTTTGAGAGAAACTGATTTTCTACTCAAGAACTTCAATTGTTTTGATTAACTAGCAATTAAAGATAATCTGGTCCCTAGCACAGTCTGGAGAACAATGATCTTATTTTCTCTTGCCCTTTAGTGAAATGTAATTAATTTCTTCAAATTGCTGGAAAGGACTGGTTGAGAAGGAAAATAAAAGAGAAATTTGTAACCAATATGATGCAACAGAAATGAGATTATATTGTAACCCTTGTAACTATTTTCTCTAATGTTATCTCTCGCCTGGAATAAGAGTTAGGGTCTAATAAAAGTAGACAAAACAGAAGTTCAGAACTAGTAATGACATCTGTCTCTGGCAGGAGAAAAAGGATTATGAAAAAATACATACTTTTTGATCAGGATTAACTGTTCTTAAGATTTGATGCCATAGGAAATACAGTCTTTGTACATTTATTTTTCCTGAACATTTTTTGCTTGTGCATGTTGTCTTGAGTGAAGGAAATGTTCAGTGTTATATTAGAAAGGAGCCTGGGAAGAGACATAAAGCATTATATTTGATAACTTAAAACCATTTCTGACTGGGGAAGCACAACAAAAAATGTCCATTTGAGCCCTTGAGTGTTCCTCTGTAATGTATGGCACTGCCAATTGCCAGATAAAAATAATTAGTGTGAAATCTGTTGTATGGCAGTGTTCTCCATGCATGAATTCTTACTCACTTTTTGAGCACAATCCACTTTCTATGCTTAGAGATCACCAGTTAAATACCTTTATGAATTTCTAATTTCCTTCAATGTTTTGTACCCTGAATTTATTCTAAATAACAGCTGAATTACTTCTAGTAGCATGATTCTATATCCTTTAGTTCTCCCCCCCCCCATGCCAATACCAAAAAGTATGTGAAAACCAACCTGCAATCTAGACAATTAATGAAAAAATGGAAAAAGTTAGGCAAACATTTAGAGGGACTACAAAGATAAATTTACAGGCCTATGTGCAACAACTAGATTCACCATAAACCTTGTTTATCTATAAGACAAAGGAAAATAGTTTAGCTCTAAGAAAGTGTTATATATGATTTACACAAATTTGATGTCTTGTGGCTCTTTTCATGGTTATTTGATTTTGGTGCATCAGATCTGAGGAATCATAGAGGAGATTGTTCAGTTACTTGCACTAAAATAATGAACACTGGAGTTTTTTGTCAAATGCATAAAATTTGTCCTACCGGAGGGAGCAAATGATGTGGATCCAAGTGTGTTGGAAGTTGTGGCATAATGTCAATATAATGTATTGAATATGAATGTAAGAACTGTGCAGAAGAAATGAGGCCCTTGTTTATTATTTTTGGCTGTTAGTTTTCCATGACATGATTTAAGAGAGAGTTTTGCATTCTGTTCTGCTAGTCTTTGCGGATGCTACCAGCCCCTTCCTTACTCAGGGACTGTGGAATTGGTCCCCCAGTTAGAGGGTACTCCCATGAACGTGCAGCATTCTGTGCATTTTAGGAATATTACAAAAATGCTATCAGTAATGTGAAATACCAGTATTATTTCACTAAGGTAGTAAGTACTGCTAAGAAAACATGATGTTGAATCCATCTGAGAGAAAGTAAGCAAACTCTTGTCTTTGTATAATGTCTTCTATCATATCTGTTTTAATCAACTAGTGTTATTAGTTAGTCCTGCTGATAATCAATTATGTGAGAAACAATATTCGAATTTCCAAGATTAATATATTTGTCATGGGATATTCTTCCAAAATATTACCTATAGATGATACAGAAAACATTGTTTTCACCCTCCTTTTCATACATCAGAAGGCAGCTTCTCTCATTAGATCGGAGTACTTGCTGTCATTGCACGGTTATTTCAGGTAAAGGTTTAATAGAAAATTAATGCATCATTTTATGTTTAATGTTATCTGTATTAAATTGAATGCAGACATATTGCAGTCAGCTCTAATATATGATTACTGGTGAGTAAACCTAAGAACCATGGCACTAGCAAGGTGATATAAACCTTTGTTATCCTGCTTCTATTTAGGTTGGCAGCAGGATCAAACCACTTATCTTATTCAGTGACTTTTGTTTTAAAAGACAGACAGGCAGAGTAAGGACCTATGAAGTGAGAAGTAAGGATTTTTTAAAATTAGATTAATGTCATACTTGGATGAAAAAACAAGTCTCATCTCATTGGTCGGAATGTTGGGTTTTTGCTCAGGAGATGTGAATTGTCTCCTAAAAATCAGCAGGTTTCTGTTGTGGAACTGCTTATTCATGGCATTGATTCATGCCTCAATTTCTTTCTGTATAAAATGGCATTAGCAGTAGTTAATTTAGTTTTTAAAGAGCTTTAAGACCTGTGAATAAAACATGTCTGTGCACAGGGTGTTATCTGGCCCCCAGGTAGCTGGTTTTTGAGAAGGGTGCTGTGTGTAGGCTGCCCTTTGCAGCAGACTTATGCTTATTCTCAGGCAAATATCTTTCCCTTTTATTATGATTTCAGCATGCTGCTCCCCATGTTCATATGACTAATGGTAAGGCCTTGCAAGCCAGTGCAAGTGCCATTAAGACAAGCACCATTCCAGTGATCAAGAGACAGAGGCAAAATTGGCTTGATGCTTCAGATGATGGTTTCTTTATAGCTACAGAAGAGACCAGGTAAGAGAAATGAAATCTAAGCAGGGAATGAAGTTTCACTCCATACATGTTATTGATCCACTATGTGAATAACAGTTTTTTACATTATTGTTTGAGGTTGCGTTACAGTGAGGAGCAATGTTACATCAAAAAATGCACACAACTTTGCATTTCTTGCATGCTAATATTATCAGTATTTCACTAATAAGACTTAGTCAGGACTATTTCTCTGTGGCAAAGATTAGAACTTTTTAATTGTTGCTAACTGTAGTTCATATACAATGAAGTTTCAGGCACCTCGGATCGTTCAGCAAAATATAAATGCATCCACAATGTAAGTTAAAATTTTCAGAACTTGAAAAATATGTAGCACACAAGAGAGAAATATACAGCAGATAGCATCTCTTCCAGGCTAGAAATTGTTTTCCTTTAAAAGCAACTAAGATAGTGATCTTTTTCAGTCTTTCATTTAGAAATTAATTGGTAAAATTTAATGAGCTTTTGCTTTTCCCAGTAGAGCTTGATATCACGGAAAAGTCACTAGTTTTTTGGAGGCTTCTCTGTTCTTTTCCTCCCCTGTTAAGATCTGGCCATTCCCTAATTTAATTCAGACTAAGACAAGAAGTTATAGTCTATTTTTGTAAGCTGTGGTTGCTGGGCCTGTTATTTAGAAACCTTTAAAAAAAGCAAGGGGATTATTATGGCAAGTAACATCAGACTGCTCCTCACTTCTGTGATTATTTCACAAGCCTAGAAAAGCTGGTAGTTGAACAAAAAGGTAAATAATAAAATGAGGGAAGAGAAGGAACATCTGTAAATTCAGAGCTAACCAAGGAAAATGTGCATATTTAGTTCCATTTATGGAACATTCAGCTAGGGAAGTCAAAATACTAGTACGTGGCAATGTGGTGGTTATTTCAAGATCACATTAAATATGGCACTTCATTTTTCTTTTGTGTGAGGAATGCGACAATTCAGAGAGTGGTGGGAGGATGATGAGCTCTTAGGCTTCTGATATCTAGCCCAGATTGATAGCATTCATTATTTTGAGAGTTTCTTGATGCAAAGAGCTTAGTAGTATCAGACTAATCCCTAATGATTATACCCTCAAAGTGAGACTGGTAACCTTTCGAAGTTTTAGAATTTTCAGGGTTTTTGTTTCAATTATTATAGAGAAGTGCCTGTCAAAGAGTGAGATGAGTCCTGCACTGACAGTGTTTGTCTCTCCCCACTGATGTCAGAGGTAGGCCAGGCGTTTAAATTCTAGGTGATCAAAGTATAGTGAGATAAGTCCTGCTTCTGCAGATCACTCATGTATGATAGCCCCTCCCCACTCCCACGGCTGGGACACCATACCAGGGCCAAGCAGCAAGACAGAACTTACACTGTCTCCCCCTCCGCACCCACGGTGGTGGGTAAACAAGGGGCTTGGTCCTCAGGATTCTGCATCTGCTGCTTCTCCTGTCCAAATCATTAAAAGTGTAAACAGTAACATTTGCAGTCGCCTGATACTGGGAACATAGGGCAGTTAGACCTCGCTGATATTCCTTCAAACAAGGAGGTGCTGTGTCACTCTGACCAGCGCTGAAGAAGCACGGCAGGGAGTGCTCAAGGACTGGTGTGGGTTGAGCCCCCTCAGCACAGCTGTTCCCAGTCTGACAAGAGCTATCCCAGTAAGTTCGATGCCAGTGCAGATGCATGAACCTTCCTTCTGTGTTAGCAACGCACAAGGAGTATTAGTGCTTCATTCACATTTATCTTCAAAACTATTCCTAATGGGGACAGCAACTTTTTATCCTTTGAAACTTTAAAACCTCATTTCACATGAGATCTGTTCCTTCTCTCTCACAGGGCTTTTCCTTTTTTTTTCTCTGTTCCCGTCCTCATTGGTTCTTTCTCTACCATAGGCATGCTTTCTCCTTCCTAACTTTTTCCTTTGAGCCTTTAATTCCCTTCACCTTTACTCCAAGATTATTTAGAAGAGATGGTGTAGCTTGTTCTCCTCTCGGCTCTCACTTGCCTCTGGCCTTTACAGCTCGAAGCACTGCCTGGTGCTGCTGCTAGGAGTGCACCGATGCCCAAGATGACAATTAAATGCTCTGCTTTTTGGGGCAAGAATGAGGAACAGGGCACAGACACTAGTCCCTGATAGCCAGCCTGCCCTGTGATAGTTCACATAGCTGAGCATGACCGTGACAGAGCTGAATGCAATATAATTGCAATGAAAAGAAATATCTAGTGAGGAGACCTTTGTGAAAAAGCAGCACACAATTTATCCAGTCCTGCCATAGAATGAAAAAAGAAAGAAAAACAGTTGCCAGTTAGCAGCCATTAGGTGTTTAAGTATGTTCTGAACACTCAGCTCAGAAATAATTGTCCATTTGAGTCAAGGTAACAACAACTCGTCCTTAGGGCACTTGTTTCATTCTGCCTCAGGATTCGGTCTGTTTTATCATGTATATTTGTTCATTAAAATTACAAGACAGACAGACACATGCTAATTACAGCAAAAGGAAAAATATTTTTCAGTATAATTACAGCCTGCAAAAGGGAAAGTATTTTTCAGGATAATGTTTTGTTTGCAACAATCCATAACACTTTACATTTCTCTGTCCTAAAACCTTTTTGTTTGTGCAGTGAATTAAGGTTTGAGATGCATATTTCTATAAAACATCAAGTAGGAAGTCTAGAGGGTAAATTTTCTCAGACATTTAGCTACAAAAATTGTTGATATTATCTGAGAAAACAATTTAATATTATTGCTGCTAAACTAAATGAGGTGCCAGTCTGTTTCATGCTAACCAAGCCAAAGATGCACATGAGCATTCTAAATTTTATTATATGTCAATAGATAAGTTGAATATATGTATTTATGCCTATAGCTCCATTTCAGAAGCTATTTTTAAAGAAATTATCATCATCCTTTTGCCCTCTGAACTTAAGCATCAATCATATTTCTGTAAAGTTAACTATTGTATATCTAATTGCTCACAGATTTGAGATACTTGTAGCCATGGGTGAGTAGGGAGCTAAATATTCAGAGCAGTGAAAATGTGGAAATTATATATCATCAAAGCTTTGCAGGGTAACTTTTGGAGTTACCCTAAAATTTTAGGTCAGTGCCCTTCACTCTTCACTGAGGCCACGGTTCAACAGTGCCTGCAGGGATGCTTAAAATTTAGTGTGAGCATATGTATCATTGAAACAAAAAGACTGAAGTTTACGTCTGAAGTTACAACATATTTAGGTACCGATCTGCTCTTCAGAGTAGAACAGGAACGTGCTTTATATCGGTTGTGATGTGCATCCTCATACATTTCGGCTTTTTTTGAAGTTGTAGCTGTTTGAATGCAGCTTCCTCTGCTGTGTGTATCAGTATCTGCACATCTGGGGAAAAATACCAGCGTAATTCCCATTTGTATTCCACTCTCTCCAAGCCCAGAGGCCTCTGCAAAGCTGGGCTGCACGTTAGCACAGTGCTGAGCCCCGGTCATTACAACCCCTGGCCAGTCTGGGGAAGGGACAGTGTGAGTTGCATCTGCCTGCATGTTGGTGCCACCAACGAGTCACCCGTATGAATTTCTCAATTGATCCGTATCTCAGTATCTATCTGTAAATCCCCTTCCTGACTACCCATCAGCATGCTTAGTGAATTTTGCCAATAAATATAGAGGTCCCTGGTTTTGCTGTTTCATCTGTAGTGACAAGCTGCACTCTCCATTCACACACCTTCCTGATGCCTGTGTGAGTCCAACTCACTTGGGATTTCCACATCTCTGTTCAGTCACAGGCTCACAGCAGAGATTAGTCTAGACAGAAAGTTCAAGAACATTTACCTTGACATTACGTCATAATTTTCTTTTAACCTTTGCTGGATTTGATTTTTGTATTTTTCTTTATTCCTACCCTTTTTTGAATGAAAAAGGAATTCTCATTCCCTACTGTGAAATAACTTGCTCAAGATTTTATTCTGAAGTGCAAATCTGTCCACACAGTTCATTGAAAAATCAGTCTTTAAAGAGCCTTACATTTAGCACTGCTTACTGAGGGAGTCTCCTTATTTCTTTTTAACATACTTAGATATTAGCTGCTAGGATTCTTCTAGCACTAAGTACATGCTTTAGGATCAACCAAGATACAACTTAGAACTATAAAAAAAAATTATTCAGAACATTGTGCTAAATCTCCTTCACTATAAAGAAACTTTTTGGGTTTTATTTCCCTTTTGTTGACTAGCTGTGATGTGGTTTCTGTTGTAGGCCCTGTTAGAGGTTAATACAGAAAATGACTATATTGTGTCAAGTTAAATTCTTTATACCTCATCACCATTATGGGAGTTAAATAGTAATTGAAAAAATGCGACAGTTCATACTATGGTCTCCAGAAGTTTAATAAAAATGTAATGTAGCAGCTTATTATCTGTTGAGTTATATAAGTCATAATCATAATTTATGAGTAAAATTAGAAATATAGCTGTTGGATGTCCAGGGAAATGTATCTGTTGATTAAAACTTTTCTTACCAATTCTAGGTATGCAGTGTGCATGCAGTTCCTATACACATGCTCTGTCCATGACAGAACGCACGTGCATGCTAATGATCATACTTGTATAGGGACAGCTAAAACACTGTGTGGAAAATGAAATATTTTTCTTTCAGCATTGGCATTATAAGAAATGTGTGGAAATGTTTGGCTGAATGCGTTGTAGCAGCAGATTCCATATGCTTTCCCTTCATGGGCCGAAAAGCATATTTGCATCTAGAACTGCAGTTGAATGACTCGATGCTTGTTTCCTTTCAGTGCTGAAGCAGTTAGAAACCTTCTCACGGTAAGTGCAACTCCATTGGGAATGAGTTAACTGCAACTGCTAAAATTAGAACATGATCTTTAGCTGTTACCAGCAGACATTGCTTCCTTTTTGCTGATAAAATGATTTGAGAGGCGTCCCTGTGGCAGCATTATAGAGGCAATTTTCATATTCTTCACTTTATGTTTTGTCTGTAGAAGGAAAAGCTTCCCTTGATTTGTTGATGTACTATGTAAGGATATCACAATTGCTGTGATAATTACCTGATACCACTCATTTTTATTTATGCATGTCTCATAGCACACATAAAAAGCTTAAAAACTAAAGGTGCATGTTGAAAAAGAAGAGAATGTGAGGCTGACAACCAACTTCAGCAAAACGTTGAGTCTTGCCTTGCCATCGGTGGTCTGGTTCTCTTGCAGAGGTGGGGGACAGTCATGCTGGTACTCAAAGCCCTTTGTGCTCCTGCCTATACTGCTAGCACTCTGCATTGTAGCTTTATCAGTGTAAACCCTAACCTGTAACTTTCAAAGCAAACTGAAAACGCGAGTGAACCGAACCCAATATTAAGAGTTGTGAATGACCTGCCCTTGACACTTCTCCTTTCCTCATGTGTTTTAGCCAATGCTTAGACAAGGTCAGGCACAGTGTTTGAGCCACTGCTTGTAGCACATTGCTCGGAGAAGAGGGAAAAGTGGAGGAGCCCGTCTCCAGTGCCCAGGGTCTGATAGACAGTGCATAGGTGCAGGTCTAGGTCAAAGTCAGAGTTCTAGTGCTAGCAGCTCTGCTCCTTCTTCCTCTTCACACGTGCAATTTGTATCACAGGAATGTTCATAGGTATGTTTATTCTTTCTTTTTCAGTTGCCCCCAACCATTGAAAAAAAATTTGTTCGCCCAAAAAAGTATTTTTAATATACACTCAGGGATGACCTCTGTTTTTTATAAAGATGAGGCAATTTGATTTGAATTCGGGTCCTGGTCTTGAACTTCACCATACTTGGATCCCAGGGCATAGTGCATTTTTATTTCTTACCTGCATGGCACTGTGGCCGTTAGACCCCGACCCTGTAACCAACTGCATGAAGACGCCTGGCTGCACCCTTGGAGCATCAGCTGCAAGCCTGAGAATGTGATGCACCAGCTACTACCCTCTAACCAAAAAATCAGCCTCTAAGGATTGTAATTTTCTGGTTCCTTTACTTCTGCTGTATTATAAAGATGTCATACATCTGGAAAAGCAGGGATTACAGAATATATCCCTTACAATTACGTCTAATCCTCGCTGATAGGATTGCAAATATGTTATTGATTGGCTGCAGCTGAGTACAGGTGAGCTGACAACCGTATCCAGTGACAATACTGCATATGGGGAATTTGAGGAGGAACTGTCCTTGCTACAGTTTAGGAGTGGTTCTGCTTGGCTAGCTACTGTTCCAAGTTGTTGTATACTCATGAGAGTGAATAATAGTTTCTGTGAGCTGTTATTTTGACCTTATTTAGTGTGGACTATTAATGAATGCTGCGCACTGTTCACACCTTATAAATCATACTTCTCTGAGCTCTAGCTGAGGTGCTGTGATGCAGAATCACAATGAGAGGTACAGAAACTAGATGATAATCTCTTGCCATTTGTTTCTCATTGAGCGACTTTCATGGGTCTACAGATACTTTCACTATTTATCTACATGAGTTTTTCCTCTGGCTCCTTTTACAGAACCTACTAAGTCAAAGTGACACAACTGTGATCATGTAAAAGTTTCTTTTTAAAAGCTGGATCATTCAATGAAGTTAAAATCAACTCATTTGAAGAACGTGAATATTTTTCTTAGCTTAAAAAAGAAATAATAGATATATACATGGAAAACATGTATGTAACAAACCCCAAATTTCAGTACAAGTTGTGCCATTAGTTAGAGCTGATAGGTTTGAAGAGCATATGGTATTAGGAGTTTTGCTTTATTAGTCTTCAGAAGAAATTAAATACAACTATTCTGGTTTGGAGATGTGTATTAATCTTCTCACAGTTGAAGGTGAAGTTTCAGTGACATCGTAGTAAGCTACTGACTCTATTTAAAGCTGCATGGTAGGGGAATGATGTTGCAGTTGTTGAAGTGCTTAGCTAGGACTTGTGATTCACTAGGAAAATGTGATTCAGTTCCCGGTTCCCTCACAGACTTCCCGTGAGACCTCAAGCAGGTCTTTCAGGTCTGTGTCTCCAAGCATTTAGATGCCTAACTCCTTGTATCAAAATTAACAAGGTGCCTAAATACTTGTTGAAGATTTGGAGGCAATTGTCAATGTACCCTCCGTTCTTTGCGTGAAGAATTAGGTGTCGAGTACTTTATTCTTTTGCAGGGCTGTTGTATGCAGAGCAAGTCAGAAGCCTTATAGGGGAACTTCTTTTCAGAGAAAACTTTTTACCTTTATTGGTAATAAAATCTCGTGGAAATGCCACCCCCAGGAATCCAGAAGCTGTTGACTGAAACTGGGTGATTTGTTAGTTTCAGAGGTGTCTCCACTGATTAGCAGGTGAAAATTAATTAGCACACAGCTTCAGTGATGACCTCAGGGAGACTGAGGCTAAGAACAGATGGTTGTAAGTGACCTAGTTACTGCTGCCTGAAGAGTCACACCGTTGGATCTTGTCAAATGGTCTTGTCTGATCCTACCTTGTTGTGAGCAGAAATTCAAATATGCTGCCTCTCTGTGGTGGCTTAGATCCTCAAGTATACTTTGCAATTGCATCTTAGGTTGGAGCTTGAATGTGGTTAATTCACATGACTCAGCTAAAAAGCAGTGACACATTTAGGGGTGCTGCTCAACCCCTTGCGATCTTCTCAGCTCTCTTTGACAAAAGTTATTTCACATTCAGACAGTAGCTGCAGAAGTAGCCAGAGCATTTTATATTTAGGAAGAGAAATAGGATTTCTGAAATGAGACTTTGCAGAGTTTTATTGACTTGGGAAACTTGGGGGGGGGGAAGAACTGAAGTGAAAGATAACAAGAATGATAGTAAGTGCATTAAGGATTGTCTTAAACACAGATGTTGGTGGAGAAGCTCCTGTATCAGTACTTAACTTTTCCATAAACCTCATTCACTTTGTTAGACCTTCCAGACCCAATTCAGCAAAGTTCTTAAATGCATGCCTGACTCCCACTGAGTCCGTCAGCTAGAGTGCACCGCGTAGTCAGTGATACACCTTATATGTTAGATGTTAAATTGGGATGTCATGCAATTCTTTTAACCTGCTTTCTTACAATTCTTGACAAATTCTGAATTTCCTGCAGTTCGCCATTTCAAAAGGTTTTCCTTCAGAAGCTGTCTTTTATGTTTGGGCAGAGGATTTGATGTAGCTGAACTGAATCCTCTTTATAGGATGTTTTAACTGAAGGTCTTAGGGCTTAGCTTTTTGTTAGCTTGCTGTTCAGCTTTTCCCTAAATCTACATCCCCAGTGGGAATGTGTCATCTTGTAATATTTGGTCATCTTCTGTTGTGGGAGTTAAAACCAATTTGGTTTTGAACAAGAAGAAGTTTTTCTATAAAGAAGCATTTTTGTAGGGGAAGCCAATTTCTCTTTCAAAGCCTTGAGAAATGTACAAAATAACAATAAAAATTCTAACTTGTCAGACCAGCAGTCTTCTGCATTTTTAAGAATCAAAGAAAAAATAAAGACAAGATTAATTGTTCAGTTGTTACCTGTAGCAAGGCTAGAGTAACACGAGTTTAGGACTAAAATTAGACAGCTCTCACCATTCCTATGCCTAAACCACAGAGGTTTATCACATTAAATCTTAGCTGTTGATGATTGTAAACCTCAAACACTGCACAGCATCAGCTTTAAGAGATCTTTTGCCCTTTTTACAATTTCTGTGTCACGTGAGCAAGAAGAACTAGCAGAAGCTGGACACAGGGTTAAAAATTATTACCTCTGAAGGTGGAGAAATACACAGCAATAATGTGCATGTAGATACAGAAACTAGGTAAGCCCTGTGGTGAATACACTGGCTACAGTTAAATTGCAAAGAAGATGATAAAACTGTACTGTGGTGAATATGTTCAAAAATACAGTGTCGGTGATCCTCACAGTCTTAAAATTCACACAGAACTGCCCACTAACTTTCATTTATAAGTTGTCCTGTATTGGATTCTTCATTTCAAATTACAGATAGAGGACTTAATTCTGAGCTAGTCTATATTTCATTGTATGTATTTAATAATTTATTCTTATTATTTTCCTCTAATAGTTTGTTTGTTGGTGTTTTTTTAACTCGTTAGAATCTTTTAATGTAAGTAAGGCTGTGGAAAAACAAGTGTTAGTCAGTCTGTTTTTGTGAAAAAGCTTGCATAAGTAACTACATAGGCATTTTAACTGTAAAATACCAAAGAGAACGTAATGACTGCGACTGTGAAAGCCAATCACAGAGATAACTATCAGTTCTTGTCAAACATCTCAGGACAGTGTCTGGCTGTTTTCCTTAGTGTGCTATGGATAGAGGCTAAAATATTTACCTGGCAAAATACAATAGAAGTGTTCTCGTGGAAGAAGCACAGATCTGCACTTTAAAATTCCTATGTTGCCTCTGTTGCTTAGTGTGAGACACCAGACAAGTAATTTAACCTCTGAGTAGCTCCACCTTTTTGTCTGTAAACTTGAATAATATTGATGTATACCTACTCTTAAAGATGCTGTGCAGTTTTAATTAGGCAGTCTAGCAAGCAGTATGAGATACTGACATGAAAAGTGCTGGCCATAAGTGTGGCGAGCAGGATGAGTGGCAGAAAATGAACTCGAATAGAGCTTTGATAACATGAATGTTAAAAAAAATTAAAAACCAATCTTTGAAATGAAGCTGACCTTAGAAATTAGCATCAAATCATTCTGTGGCAAAGCTTTCCTCTGTTGATGCCACAGTACACAGTTCTAATCCATATTCTGCATCAGAGCTTCTGTGCATAGAGTAAGTGCTGATTATGCAAGAGATTGATGGTGTGGAGCAGAGCCCCAGGGAACGGATTTGA